TGATTAATGACAAGCTCACTGATTCTGAAAGTTAGCAGTTCGATTTCTTATCATGGCTCAGTACCTTAAATAATTATTTAAGTTATACGTAAGGTAATTTCAGCGAACATATTTTAAAACTAGAATGCTATCTCCATTTAGTTATACAATAATGTTTATCAGTATTGTCAGAATTTATAACTGTAGTTTTATGATACTATGACATTTATAACTGGACAAAAATAATTTCTTAATGTTTGGTATTCTCACGGATAGAGAACTAAAATACGTTGCACTTCTGTGAAATTGTGTAACAAGCTCGTCTCCTTTATTTTTTATTTTTTCTCATAGCACGTTAGCTACATGATTACTATCTTTGATACTGATATGCTAGAATAGCAAACTATACAGGGGGGAAAAAAAACAGCAACTGTACTTTGCAAAAGTAAGAAGACTTTCCAAAACATGGAAATAAGGTGTGTTGATTCTGGGAGACCAGCATATCTTTTTCATGTCATATTGAAACATTGTTAACAGACCCATCAAAAATTAGTTAGGGGAATGTACCCTTGTTTGATTTTCTGTTTACTATTGATTAAAAGGTTCCGAGATGAAACTTTCCTGCTCTATGAGATGTTAGTTCATTTTATATGTAACCTGATTTATTCTCATCTTCCTTCTCAAATGCCTGTAAATGACCAGTTCCTCAAACCATTTTGTGAATCAGTTTTACCATCTTAATAATTTCCTATGTTAATGAATTATTTGTATGTCATGTTTTAAATTTTTTGAAATTACAGTGAGAATGTCATGTAAAGACATGTAAAGAGACCAAGAAAGTTAATGATCTGACTTTATAGATGAATCTTGACTTACATTCAAAAGCTTTTTCCTTTTAAATGGCCTTTTGCGTATCTATTGTTGGTCATGTGAAAAGCGGGATTTATCTTTAGAATTTTAACATGGAGAAACAGTTCTAAAAGTATTACATCCATCAGGTATGTGATTGGCTGTGATTGAACAAAATACAGAAAGTAAAATCTGAGGTGGGTACCCATGCTAGAAAATAGCATACATGACTGGGAAAAAAAAAAAGTACTGCTTTTCTTTACCTGTACTTGAAAAGATCAGTAGAAAAGGATATTCCACGTTTTCAGAAGCACATGACTAAACTGAGATGATTTGTTGGTCATTTGGTATTTATACAGTTCTTGAAGATTTTCACTTTGGACCTGATTTTATTTTTCACTATAATGATTCATCATTATTTGACCTTCATATTTCACACATAATATTAGTGAATAATTTGGACCAAGACACCAGGCAGGCAGAAGGCAGACACATAAGATATATGTGATAACTTTTTAACATAAAGGGTGAACTTACATAGTAATTAGCATCAAAAATGAAAGTAGGAGATAATAAAATGGCAAGAAAATTGGTTTATTACTTTAGAAACACTGCCCATTTATGTACAAGTCACTGATAACGTTTCATTGCTCAGGGAACCCAGTTCCACAAAGTGATGTATGTGGATGCATTTATGTGTGTGTATGTGTATGAATAAGCATATATAAGTTTTTTAACAGCAGTTCATTAAAAAGCTCTTAGCTCAATGAAATGATACAGTTTTAAAGCTGAAAGTAGCTAGTAAATGTTATCAAGGTCAGTATTTTGTTTCATGATATTGGAATTAGCCTTGGAAAGGTTAAATTACTTGTTCAAGGCAGCAGTAAGTAGCGGAACTGGAGCTAGAGTCAAGATCTTCGGACAGTAATGTCCTTCACTGTACCATTTTACCTCTGCCATGTATAACTCATTAGGAAAACATAAATGAATATGAGCATATGGACCTGTACCTGGCTTGGGTAGTAATAAATGAACTTCTAACGTTTGTCCAGAAATATGGAATCACTATCAGTCGCAGTTCTTGCTCTTTACAGTTTGGATTTGACTCGGATTCACTTGGAGAATCTCCATTTCTGTTGCATTTCTATCCTGTTGACTTTAACAACTATCTGTTAGGCCAGGAAGACCACTTCTCTTCCCCTCCCTTTTTCCTTTCGCTCTGTGAAAGACTTTTTGTCCACAGGCTTTTGTATCTCTTGTCTCGTTCAGCACAGCCAGGTTCATTTTTCGACACCTCCCTTGTCTTGGGGGCTTCTTAAACTGGGGAGTGCAATGGGGAAGCCCTATACCATCAAATACAAGCATTTAAAATGAATTACAAACTCTTACTTGTTCTTATGGGCTTGATTTTATTTAATTATTTGTCTTAGCAGTGTTGCTTTCTTCTGCTTTTCTGTGTTGCAGATTTATAATGATTTTCAGCTGTCTTGTGAGTTCTGGCTTATAAGTGGAAATGTGCCCTGAGTTACAACTAAACTTTAGTAATGTTAAAAATTTTCATTGCATGGATTTGAAATTAAAATTTTAAATTGATTATTTCAGAATTTTCAGTAATTTATTTACATTTACCAGTTATTAACTCTGGATTTTTAAAAAATGTGTTTAATATTCATTTTTGTGCCTTATTCTGATGTTAAACTTATTGTAAGAAGGAATAGCCTTGTTTGCATGTTTCACATGTAGCAGAAGCACACACTGTGTTCGCACTGAGCGCAGATCTGAGAGCATGAGGTGTGAGTAATGTTTTGTAAACCTCCAGATATCTTCCTGCTTTTAGTAGGGGAGGAAGAGGGATGGATTGGGAATTTGGAGTTGATTGATGTAAGCTGTTTCATTTAGAATGGATAAACAAGGTCCTACTGTATAGCACAGGGAACTATCTCCAATCCACTGGGATAAACCATGATAGAAAAGAATATTGAAAAAAGAATGTATGTATGTGTAAAACTGAGTCAGTCTGCTGTACCACAGAGATTTGTACAACATTGTAAATCAGCTGTACTCCAATAAAATATTAAAACAATGCAAATAAAAATTCTTACTGCTTTTAGTAGAGAACTAGAAGTGCTATATCTAAAACTTATTATTTGTTGCAAATGAGTGTCAAATATTATAGTTAACAGATTTTTAAAATGCTAATTATAATATTTTTCAGCTATGTCATTTATGGAAAATGATTGTTGTGTCATTTTGATGCATCAGTTGTTATGCTAAGTTAGTTATAGGAACGATTGCTAATCAGATTAAAAAAAAAAAATCTCCAAGCCTCATCTGGTAGATTACCAAATCAGTTTCTACCATCCTCCCTTCCAACAAAAAGATAGTACAGCCAATAGCATTACTCCACTCTGCTCAGAAAAACTCAGCGTATCTGCCTTCTACCCAGTCTCATTCTGGAAGCTTTAGGAAAATGTTGGGTTGTTCCTGAAAATCACTGTTGCTCAAATCAAGAGTTTGAGACCCCATCAGAACAGTGTGCGATGACCCAAGACCATAAGTGAGACTCCCTTCCTCATTCCATTCAACCAGTTTTATTCTTCTTTAGACCACTGATCCCCATATTTCCACAGATAATCTTATAGAGGTGTAGTTTCGGTCATGAATGTTCTAAGAAGTGGTTATTTCTAGCCCTGAAGGACAGGGAAGGCTTCGTGGATGAAGGAGTCCATTTTTCCTGAGAATTAAAGAGCATTGAAAGGTGGATGAGCGAGACATTGCAGGCTAATGGAGGTATATGGGGGAGCGAAGGACCTGAGGTCAGGGAGAGCAGGGCAGATAGGCCAGTCAGGGGTTGAGCTGGACTGCAGAATTAGAGTGATGATGCCAAAGGCGTTATAAAAGATTTTGAGTGAGAGGGTAAGGAGTTCTGACTTCTCTGAAATTGGAAGAAGACATTGAATCGCCTTGAAGGGTCCTGGGTAAGGGGGAGACATGATAAAAGTTATGCTTTAGAAAGATTAGTCTCACAGTGCTTAAGCTACACGAAATGTGAAGGAGACTGGCTGGAGAAGGACTGATGGGATTTTGCTTTCTCCTCCCAGCAGGAGTTGATTACGGTCTGAACTGAAGTGATGGCACACAGTTATGACACTGACAGAGATAGGAAGCAGAAGTAGGTCTGAGAGTATTTAAAGACACGTTCTTAGCTTAGTTACTGTGAAAGTCAGAGCGGTTTTAGTCAGTGCTGTGTGCTCAGTTGTCTGGCTCTTGTTTTACCCCGTGGACTGCAGCCCGCCAGGCTCGTGTCCATGGTATTCTCCAGGCAGGAATGCTGAAGTGGGCTGCCATTTCCTCCTCCAGGGAACCTGCCCATCCCAGGGATCGGACCTGTGTCTCCCACATCTCTGGCATTGGCAGGTGGTTTATTCACCACTGAACCACCTGGGAAGCCTGTTTTCATCACTAGGTATAGTGATATTGGAGTAGAAATAGCTGGAGTTGATGTACCAAATGCCATGAAAACTATTAAACTATTAAATGCAGATTTAAAGAACCCAATGCTGTTTTTTCTAAAGACATTTACTTCAGTATTTAAAACTATTTCTCTTCTTTTATGTGCTTGTATAGGAATGTGTATTTGTGAAAACGCTGTGATTTGTTGCAGACAAGTGTCACCTTTGTTGGAGAGATGAAAAATCGAGGAGATGTGATTATTAGTATAGGAGCTGTAGGTGAAAGGGCTGTATATTGTAAGTGATTCTGAGATTTGAAGGGTTAATACATTTGAATGGTTATAAGCCTCTTTATGGTTAATGTGTTGTCAGTTGCATTTGCAAAATCAGTGCACTGATGATGGGTTGCAGTTTCTATTTCTTGTTTAGTAATTCACAATATATTAGGCAGTGTTCCATCCTAACGATCACGGTTCTACAGAGTGAACAAAACACAGCCCCTGCCCTTCTGCAGCCTACATACTAATGGAGAAAATTTCAGAAACAATATTAAAAAAAACTTTTATCCCCAAACCAAGATAACTTGTGTAGTTGTACAATGATTTTTAATAATATGTGATAATTATGAAATATGTTAGTTCAAGTATGTAACTTTCTTAGACTGCTTAGTCTTTTGTTTTCAGATTGCATGTTAACACACATCTGTTTGTTTGTCAATAGAGAGCAGATCATAAAACAGTCTACAGAGTTAGTCTGCAGAGCCTACGGGGAAGTGTATGCAGCTGTGATGAATCCGGGCAATGAGTACAAAGATCCCGGGAGCATTCTACACCGATCGCCACAGCAAGTGCAGACGCTTCTCTCCTGATCATCGTCTTTGAGTGTGGTGGAATACTGCACTCCTAAAACCCTGAAGCTTTTCTTGGCTTTTAGTCTGTTGATCTTTACTTTGAAATCTGATGGTTACAGTTTTCTTTGTATCATAAGAATGTGAATCCCAGTAATTTCTTTGGCCACAGTAATGTGCAAGTAAGTAACATGTTGACCTGGGTTGTTAGCAGTTGCTCTGTATCTGCTCTCCACACAGAAGGACTCTGTTCTTTGCTAACCCTATCTCTAGCTCTGCCATTTCCCCTCAATTCTGGAATACAAATATGTGGAAAAAGAGTAGAATGAGGTTTCAGGGATTTTTTTTTTAAACAAGATTAGTTCTAAGTTTAACTGTACATTAAAAATTATCTAAACTTAAGAATAGTTTGAAGATAAGACCTAATATTAATAAACATCTCTTTACTTAAAGATTCATTTGCTTCCTTATTAGATATTGTAAGTAGGTATGCTTAAGTGGAGGAGCAGAAATACACATTGAGCAAAAACAGAGAGCAGTCATTTAAAGGTGGCTTCCACTCTGTGTCTGCCCTGGACTGAGTTCAAGGTGAAGTTCAGCACTTTGGCTAGGGTGTAGGTGTGAGGTGTGTAGACAGACATCCTGTGCTGCATGTCAGCCTAGTGTTTAAAGGAAGGTGTTTGTTGTACTTGTGGACTCTAAATTCACCTGTCTGCTCATTTTGTCTGGTGTTTAAACCAATGAAAAAGTGATGTATTCTATCTCTGGAGGGAAGATGCCAAAGTGGCAACTTCTAATTGATGGTATGTCTATCCTTATGATGGCCCCTTGCAAAGAATTGTTTGGGCTCTGACTTTGAAACTTGACCAAAAATGAGATTCAAAATAAGTTTTTTTTTTTTTTCTTTTTTAAGCAAATCTAAATGTGTTTGTTTGTTGGTAAGATGTTGAGGACAATTCTTATTAGCAAAATCTTAATTTCTGGTAGATCTATAAAAAGAGGTGTGTCCCCAAATTACAAATGAGAAAATGAGGTATAAGGAAAACCTTGGTGAGGTTAAAATATTTTGAAAAGTAGTAAGATAATATTTATTTGGCAAATACAGAATATATAACAAATTAGTATTGTCAGAACGGGGCCTGTTCTATCTGAAATTTACAATTGTATTAATATGATTTTTTTGGAGCAAGAGTAATTGGTTACATATCATCTCTTTTGGTGTTTAATCTGTATTTTAATCTTTTCCCTTCAATAAATGTGATATATTAAAGAAAATAAAGTATGATGTAAGGGAAGAGCTTAAATTTTATATAATTTGTATCTTTTGTGAGAAAAGATTGCTTGCTTACCATTAGTGAATTCCTTTGTTTTCTAGGGGAAGTAAAAGTATATTTATCTTTTTACCTAATTTTTTCAAATAAAATACTAAACTGTTTTTAGAACAGCGATCATTGCAGTATTTTTATATATCTCATCAGTGTGTTTTTAGAAAATAGACTAATGGGAAGGAAAGTATGATACAAGGCCAAATTGATATAACCAATGGAAGATGGATGATCACGATGTGGTGTCAATGTGATCTTGAGAACTTAGTTAAAAGACTGCAAATGTTAGTTCATTAGCTTAATACTGTATTAGCTGTTTACTTCATAGTTTACATTTTGAACTGTTTTGAGGTGGCGTAAGTATAACCTTAGGTGATGCCGGTCAGTCTTCCCTTTAGAGAGAGAAGTTACTTGCCTGACCAAAGCCTTCTCTGATGGAAGGCTTTTTCTGTGCTTGTACTTGGGCCAGGGAATGTTACCTGAGAAAAATCATGCCCAGTAGACTGACGGACTGCTTAAATTTATGAGCACGGTTTCAAATGATACTCGGTGTTGCTTTGAGTAGTCCTTTTTTGTCTCAGGTGAACTCAGCTCCCTACTTTTCAAGATGACTCTTCACCCTCACTTAGTTAATGACCTTCATGATTCATTGAGATGGAAGCTGTCAGATTTATCTCCCTCGATTTTCTACCCTCCTAATTGTATCCATCATCTTCGTCTTTGCTCCTTTTGTGTTGGAGAAGGCGTCCTCCTCCTGTGACAGGCAGTTCCCTTCCTCTGGACTCTGGGTTCCATTCTCTCCCCATCTCTCTCGAGTTAACCCTTTATTTTGCTTCAGCAACTTGTGACTTCTCTGTAGGATTATTCTTGACAGCATACACAGTGCTCTAGTGTTGATATTTTTTAAAATTTGCCACTTCCCGGATCCTAATGCCTCCATTTCCTGCTGCATCTTACGGTCGTTTGTGCATGTAGTCTTAACATTTCTGCTGCCATTGTGGCCTCAATTATCCCTAAATGGCTGGCTTCAGCATCCCCACACCACTGCAACGCAGCCAGTCGTGATGAGATCCCATAGCTCTGTGTGTTGTCACATCAGTGGAGTCTGCTCATTCCTTCCTTTATGAAACTTGCAATAGCATTCCACACAGTTCTGTCAAAAATACTGTGCTCTCCAGCCTTTCACAGCACAACTTTCTGCTAGTTTTCCATTCACTTCACTCCCCAAACCTTCTCTTGTGTCTTTGTGATCTTTAACAGTTAGCATACTCCAGGGCTTGATCCTCAATTTTTTCCCCTCTTAGGAGTATTTTTTTATTATCTCAGCATAGCTCAACTTTCTCTGACTACTGTTAGCTCACATCCTTAGATCCATCCGTTCAGTGGAATACTCTGCAGTAGTGAAAAATGAAACAATTTCCAAATACATAATGTTGAACAGAACAATCACAGAGTAGTATGAGTCTATTTATAGAATTTTTAAATAAAAGATAAGGCAAATTTGCACTTTATTCATGGATATGTATGTGGTAAAGCTCTAAGGAAATATGGGAAAGGATTAATGCAGACTTCAAGATTACCTCACAGGATCTTTAGAGGTTACTAATGTTCTGTTCTTATGCCTGATTATTGGTACATGTGTGTTCATTTTTTTATTTTCTAAAATTAAATATGAACTCTTTATATATTTCACAATTTTTAAAAAAAGAGGTTAAAAGAAATTGTTTAGCACAGGGCCTGGAGTAAAGTTGGAATTCAGTAGAATTTATATCTTACCAAATAGAGAATATCCAGAAAGAGGAAGAAATTTCCAAAAGGAGGTTTTTATGGTTACATTTATAATCATAAAAATGATAAAGTTATAGTTTAATGAAAATTATAAAAAAATTCTGGAGTTGAAAAGTATAATAACTGAAATTAAAATTTCACTATTGGAGTTCATCAGATTTGAGCAGATAGAAAAAGGTGTCAGCAAACTTGAAGATAGGTCAACTGAAATTATTTAGTCTGAGGAACAGAAAGGAAAGAATGAAATGAATTGAAAGAAAATGCAAAGAAACTCAGAGATTTTGAATATTGTCAACAATATTCAGACAATGGGAATCTCAGAAAAAAAGGTGGGGGGAGGCTGAAAGAATATTTGAAGAAATATTGGCAGGAAACTTTACAAATTTGATGAAAACTTTAATATACACACTCAAGAAATTCACCAGATTCTATGTAGGATAAATTCAAAGAAATATCTGGATTCCTTTCTTCTTAAAAGGAATCCAGATAGGAAAAGAAGAAGTGAAACTCTCGCTGTTTGCAGATGACATGATCCTCTACATAGAAAACCCTAAAGACTCTACCAGAAAATTACTAGAGCTAATCAACAAATACAGTCAAGTTGCAGGATATAAAATTAACACACAGAAATCTCTTGCATTCCTATACACTAACAATGAGAAAACAGAAAGAGAAATTAAGGAAACAATAC